GACTTTGTGGAGTCCTGTAGCTCAGTGGTTAGAGCACTCGCCTCGCAAGCGAGAGAGGACCTGGGTTTGATTCCCGGACAGGGGGTGAAATGTTGGGCAAGTTTCCTTACTCCACACGCCTCTGTTTACCAGTAATCAGTAGGAACCCGGTTGGCGGATCACTTTTCAGGGATAATAATTCCTTCAAAATAATTTAAAATAATTTGGTCACTCATTCCTCGGCTGTCTGTGGGACGCTGCTGTGTGCAATTGGCTGCCCCGTTTGGCCCACAAAATATACAGTCAATTTACTTTACAGTAGATCCTGTGAAGCGCTTTGAGACGGCTCGAACATGTGATGAGGTACTGTATCAAATGCGAGGAATATTATTATTATTACCAGTTCTCTCAGCCACTACGCCCTGAAACTCTGGAACGCTCTCCCTCAGTCCCTCCGCCTTGCCCCCTCCCCTTTTTCAAGTCCCGCCTGAAAACCTTCCTCTTCGACCGTGATTACGGCCACCTCCCCCCGCCCCCCCCCCCCCCCGGCTCGGAGTCAGGCTCTGCCACTGTTAAGCGTGGAGGGCACTGGATAAGTGCAAGTTGTTGTTGTTGCTGTATTAGGGAATGTCCTGGGTTTTGGAGCCCGAGATATTGTGTTGGGTTTTGCCTTCAGAGTCTACGGACTTGGAGTTGAGACAAAATCTGACAATTGTGCTGCTCCTGAGCCCCATCTGCTGGACTTCACTCCAAAGAACACCTCAGAACCCGACAGACGCTTTCCTCGACAAAGGACAGTTTCCTTGATTTTATTAATAATAACAGTAACAATAATCCTCGCGGTTGATGGAGCGCCTGATCACGTCGTTGAGAGGTCTTAAAGAACTCAACAGGACTGTGTATTTTGGTAGAATCTCCAACCTGCTCACACCCAACTCCTGCACCCCGTCCCCTTTGCTTGGCCAACAGAGCAGGGGCTTCCTGCGAGTTGCCCGAACCATCGTACCCTCCCCTCCACCATCAGCTCTGCCCTTCCTCTCCACCATCAAGGGACAGAACAAATACATTCCCACAAAGGGAAAGGAGGGCATCCAAACCTCCCTGGATGACTAAGGAAATTGGGATTAAAATCAAACAGAAAAAGGTTTATGATAAATTTCAGGTCCAAACACAGAAGATAATCAAATAGAAGATAGAAAGTACAGAGGAGAACTGAGAAAGGAAATAAGAGGCAAACAGATTGTATGAGAAAAGGTTAGCGGGAAATATAAAAGGGAAGCTTAAGGTATTTTAAAGCATATAAAGAATAAAAGATCATTCAAAGGTAGGGTGGGTCCAATTAGGGACAAGGGAGAAAATCTTGTGGAGGCAGAGGGTGTGGCTGACGTACCGAATGAGGACTTTGCAGCTGTCTTCACAAAAGAAGAGGATGGAGCCAATGCCGCAGTATCGGAAGAGAGGGGAGAGAAATTGGATAAGATAAGAATAAACCAAGAGGAGGTACTAAAAAGGTTGTCGATCCTCAAGGTAGATAAGTCATCCGGTCCGGACGGGATGCATCCGAGGTTACTCAGAAAAACCCTTTGCACCCGATCCAGCATTGCACGAAGATAATAAGCCTCGCGTTTGATACAGTGCCTGGGACGTCTCACAGGCCTTCATCACATTTACTGTGAAATGTAGGTTTGATTCCCGGGAAGGCCGAAACCTCAGGCAAGTTTCCTTACTCCACACGTCTGTTTACCCAGCAATCAGGAGGAACCCGCTTGTCAGTCGATTGACGGATCACTTTCAGGGGGTGATAATTCTTTGAAAAAAAATTGTGGTCCCTCAGTCCACGACTGTTTGTGGGACGCTGCTGTGCGCAATTGGCTGCTGTGTTTCGTCCGCAAAATATACGGTCAATTCACTTTACAGTTAATACTGTGAAGAACTTTGAGACGTTTCAATGACGTGATATAAGGCGCTGTATGAAATGCACGGTTGATATTTGTTTTGCAGGGAAACGGAGCAGCCAATTTGCGCAAGCAATACCTTGCAAACAGTCCAACAGTCCATAAATTGAATGATTTATTTTTACTGGGGCAGAGGTGGGGGGGTTGGCAGTGTTTGACAGGACACCGAGAGAATCACCCTTTCTCTTTTCGAACAGCGCCTCACTCCATAGATGCTGCCTGACCTGCTGCGAGTTCCTGGCAACTTCTGTTTTTAATTAATTCCTGGCAACCTGGTCCAGTCGATAATTACCCTCTGGGTTCGGGAATACTTCCTGGTGTCCATCCAGCTTTGCAACCCCGAATCCTTGGGGCTTGAGTCCAATTTGCACCAGCAAAGTGATTGACTAGAACATCCTCACCCTAAACATCGGAACAATCAGTTTTTTCTAGTCGCTGGGTATATTGCAAAGCGGAGTGACTGTGTATTTTTTGGGCGAAACGCGGCAGCCAATTGCACACACAGCGTCCTCACACAGAGTCATGGATTGAGTGACCACATTTCTTTTCAGGGATCATTGCTGTGTCTGCAGTAAGGAGACTTGCTTAAGGTATCGCGCTGCCCGGGAACCAGTATATGAATCAGTCAGCCTGCGTGCTATTAAACTGACATAACTTCCTGTTGAGGCTGGAATCTCAACGTCCCTTTCAAACTAAATCTATATTTTATTATTTTATCTCTATGTCGGCTTTTCACCTGCTGTAATCTGCATTTGGCAGAGCTTTGCTCTGAACGTCAACGCTAACTTATTTCCCTTATCGCTTTGTTTCCAAAGTCCCCAGTGACCTTTGAAGCTGATGTGCGGAGGGTATTTTGTTTCGTAATGTAGGGAAAGAGAGAGAGAGAGAGAGAGAGAGAGAGAGCGAGGGAAAGAGAGAGAGAAAAAAAACAAATGGTTTTATTTTTACACACACCGTATATATAAAAAAATCAAAATTTGCTTCGTTAAAAAAAACCTTGTTCGCACACAAAATACACAATCACTTTACAACGTAATCTGGGAAGTGGTTCAAGACATTTTCGTGAAGTCAAATGCGCTGCATCAAATCTAAGGATTATTTTTATTTTTACTATTATATGCCCCCTGCTCCCACCCCACTGCTGCGACTCAAACTCTAGTCTTTATTTTTATTTCTTCCTTAATTCCCGGGCGCTCTGGGCTGCTAACGCGGCTGAGGGCCGCTAAATAAATGCAAGTTATTGTTGTAATTTGGAAGCCATCATTCCCCACTGCTCTTCACAATAATTAACAAATAATTATTCAAGTGTAAAAGGAACATCGGTCAACACAGATCCCCTCCCAGGCCTTAAATTCCTCATGTTCCTAGCCTCAACATGTGAGGATTTGAGATTTATTCGCCAATAATTTTGAAAAATCCTTACATTCTGCCTTTATTGTGGGAGGGGATTTCTGCAGTTCTCGGAAAGATAAAAGACTTCCTTCTGCCCTGTCCCTCACACCTCCTCTCTCCCTGCAACCCCTTCCCCCAATTGCTCGATCTCCAACCCCTCCAACCCCCAAAGAGTTTTTCTGGAACTCCGGGACAAAATGGGTTTCGGCTCAAGAACGGCGCCTTAATACGGGTGAATTTCCAGCGAGGCAGAACTCTGCTTTAATAAAAATAATCCTTACATTTAATACAGCGCCTTAGCACGTCGTTGAGATGTCTCAAAGCACTTCACAGAATATACTGTGAAGTGCAGTAACTATATATTTTGTGGGCGAAACACAACAACAATAAGATTTCATTTATAGAGCGCCTTTCACGTCGGGAGGACATCCCAAGGCGATGGACAGTTGGGTCAGGACCCGAGCATTGGGGAAATGGTCAGGGTGCGAGGAGGGGAGGGAGGGAGCGAGGAGGGGGGAAATGGTCAGGGTGCGAGGAGGGGAGGGAGTGAGGAGGGGGGGATGGTCAGGGTGAGGGGAGGGGAGGGAGGGAGCGAGGAGGGGGGAAATGGTCAGGGTGAGGGGAGGGGAGGGAGGGAGTGAGGAGGGGGGAAATGGTCAGGGTGAGGGGAGGGAGGGAGCGAGGAGGGGTAGAGAGTCGAGAGGGGAGCTGAAGGCTGAAGGTCAAAGAGAAAGGTCTTGAGACCGGCCTTGAAGGAGGAAAGGGAGGAAGCGGCGAAGGCACTGGGGATGGAGTTCCAGAGCCTCGGGGCTGAGAGGCTGAAGGCCACCGATGGTCGGGCAGTTGGGGCGGGGGATGTGGAGCAGACCGGAGCCAGAGGAGCGGAGGGTACGGGCAGGTAGGGAGGGGGATAGTAGGTCGGAGAGGTAGGAGGGAGCGAGGCCGTGAATGGCCTTGTAGGTGAGGATGAGGATCTTGAATTCGATCCTCTGGGGGATGGGGAGCCAGTGGAGGCGAGCGAGGGCGAGGGTGAGGGTGAGGGCGAGGGCGAGGGTGAGGGCGAGGGCGAGGGCGAGGGCGAGGGTGGGAGTGATGTGATCGCGGTGTCTGGTGTGGGACAGTACACGAGCTGCAGAGCTCTGAATGACCTGCAGTGTGGAGGGAGGGCCGGGAAGGCCGGCGAGGAGACAGCCAATTGCACACAGCAGCGTCCTACAAACAGTCGTGGATTGAGCGACTACATTATTTTTTTTGGAGGGGTTATTACCGTTAGGTAAATAGAGGAGTGTATGTGTGGAGTAAGGAAACTTGCCTCAGGGTTCGCCCCGACCGGGAATCGAACCCAGGTCCTCTCGCTGGCCAGGAGAGCGCTCTAACCACTGAGCTACAGGACCCCACAAATAGCTTCTGGTAAATAACTTGGTTAAAACATGCTGCAGCTGCTGCGATAAACCGAGGAGATGGAAGCGAATCTCCATCACTTCAGGCAGAGACGTAGAATAACAGGCGCAGCTTTATTCTTCACTTGTCTTGCACTGTATCACAGAACAAATTCTAAATTTGCTCTGTGGGTTAAACCAATGGTCCCTCGATCTTGCACCTCACTCCCCCACCCCACCCCTTCATGCCCCAAAACATCTCATCTCTCAGTAGGAGAGACGACCAACAGATAGATTTTTTAAAAAATAATATTTTTAATTTTCTTTTCAAATAAAATTCCAGCTCACAAATACGCACGCCCACACTGAAGAATTATTATTATTATTATGCTTTTTGCTGCGATATATTATTACGAAACAGACAAGAAGAATGCGAACAAGTATTCATAAATCTGGAGACAAGGTGGTCGAGAGATAAATGAATTGGATGGTGGTATGCAGTCACTCTATGAGATTGTGTTTCCATTCTCTCCCCGACATCTATCCTCCACTCCTTTTTCTGGGCTGTTTCGCTCTCCTGGGCTTCAGGATGGTATAGTTTGCGTATATCGTGTGTTGGTGAGATAAAAAGGGAATGAAGAAAGCTCGGAAGAATCTTGAAGATCTACAATAGAAAGAAATGGAAAAAAAAGTATCTATTATTATATTATTGATAGTAATAATAATCCTTGCATTTGATATAATAACATTAACTCCTTGGATTTGACACAGCACCTTATCAAGTCGTCGAGAAGTCTCAAAGCGCTTCACGGAATATATTGTAAAGTGAATTGACTGTGTATTTTGTGGGCTAACGAGGCAGCCAATTTGCGCACAGAGACGTTGCACAAATAGCCACGGGAGAATCAGCCCGGCTCAGTTGGTAGCATTCTCGGCTCGGAGTCAGAAGGTTGTGGGTTCAACCCCATGAGCCCACAGTCCAGGCTGACACCCCAATGTAGCATTGTATACGCACTCCGAGTCGCTACCCTGTGTGACAGACGCCCAATATAGATATATAATGCATCTTATTGCTGTATTGTTGGGAGTTGCTGCTCTTCGGTAGAGACATTAAACCATGACTCAAAGCCAGTGGATACTCTTGACAGAAGCTCGCTGTGCCAGCTAACTGCGCCAGTTACAGCAACTACCATTTCTTCTCCCTCCCCCTCCCTCTCCCCCTCCTCTCTGTGGGGAAATCTCTCTCTCACGCTAATTCTCTTCAGTTTTATAAATGAGAAGCGTGCGTGAGCTCAGGAAGCCGCGTGTCTCCGGCTCATCATTAAGCTCGCGGTTGCAAGATAAAATGTTAATTAACGCACGCTCATTAAAGCCTTTGATTTCTCTCGAAAAAAAACACACGTTTTCCGGCTTGGATATCAATTATCAGGAAATCTCTGGGAACCACACTCACACCGACAAAACAGTTTCAAACGATATCACCAATTTTCATACAAGATTCTCAGGGGACACATTAGAATAAATAAAATAAAAGCTCACAGGCTCAGGCTGATGCTCCAGAGCAGTGCTGGGGGGGGGGGGATGAGGGGAGTTGAGCGGCAGAGGTTGGGGGGAGTAGGTGAACGGGGTCTCCTTCGAGCTATTCTATAAATGCAATTTATTGTTGCTGTTGCCGTGCGCAAACTGTCAGCCGCATTTGCCCCCGGACGCTCTTTGAGGCTTTTCTACATTATAGCGGGAGCGCGGATTAATTATTATGGATTATTATTATTATACAACTGTGTAACAGGAAAAAATTAGCAGGGCAGTAAAAATAGACAAGACAGTCTTGTCTATTTTTACTGCCCTGTTAATTTTTTTAGGGAGGGGAATGTATGTTTGTGGAACACTCCTGTGCCCAATTGGCTGCTGCATTTCGCCCACAAAATACACAGTCACTACACTTTACAGTATGTCCTGTGAAGCGCTTTGAGACGTCTCTTTGCTCTCCACCCCCCCCTCCAGATTGGAGCATCAGCCTAAACAGTGAGCTCAAGATGGAAAGGGGAGCTTTGAACACACAACCTCCTGAGCCAGGCTGAGAGAGCTACTGACTGAGCCAGGCTGAGAGAGCTACTGACTGAGCCAGGCTGAGAGAGCTACTGACTGAGCCAGGCTGAGAGAGCTACTGACTGAGCCAGGCTGAGAGAGCCACTAGAGCTACTGACTGAGCCAGGCTGAGAGAGCTACTGACTGAGCCAGGCTGAGAGAGCTACTGACTGAGCCAGGCTGAGAGAGCTACTGACTGAGCCAGGCTGAGAGAGCTACTGACTGAGCCAGGCTGAGAGAGCCACTGACTGAGCCAGGCTGAGAGAGCTACTGACTGAGCCAGGCTGAGAGAGCCAGCCTGACTCTAATCTGCGTAAGTACTGCCACGGTTAATATTAAACATCTCATGTTGCATTACTTGGTCTGAGGAGATGTTTTATTTGAAGTTAGTGGTGAGTGTTAACTAGAGTCGGAGCAGCTCACATTGCAATTAAACCAACCTTCTGCTAATTAATATATACATTTTCGTGACAGATTGCAAACAAAGCGATAGCTACTCCTGGTAACTTGCGCCAGTGAAAACATAACTGTTTCTAATTAAAACTGAACAGTATTCTCAAGAGAGGCAGCAGGGAAATATTTTACTCCATTAAGCAAAGGAATAAAATAGATATAAAACTTATAAACTGCATATTATGTATGGCTTAATCATGATGATTTATCAAATATATAAGTTGTTGTTTAGTTGCTTTCTATCTTATTCACTGGATAAAGGATAAAATACAGAAAAGGGCTAGCCCTAACCACTGAGACACTTTAATGTTTGTTATCACTCCTTAATAATAATCCTTGCATTTGATATAGCGCTTTTCACGTCTTAAAGTGCTTCACAGAATATACTGTAAAGAGACTGTGTATTTGTAGGACAACACGCCAGCCAATTTGCGTATAGCAACATCCTACAAACAGCCATGAAGTGAGTTACTGATTTTATCTGTTGGCCTGGACACCGGGCCAAACTCCCTTTTTTTTCCAATAGCACCACTATTACTTTAACCTGTAGACGGGACTTCGGTTTAACGTCTCATCCAAAGGCACTGCTGGCAAAGCACTGGCAAAGACTGTGAGCTCAACATGGGGTCTTGAACTCACAACCTCCTATAATAATAATAATCCTTGTATTTGATATAGTGCCTTATGTGGAGTCCCTGTAGCTCAGTGGCTATAGCGCTCGCCTCGCAAGCGAGAGGACCTGGGTTTGATTCCCGGGCAGGGGGCGAAATGTTGGGCAAGTTTCCTTACTCCACACGCCACTGTTTACCAGCAGTCAGTAGGAACCCAGTTGTTAGTCGATTGGCGGATTGCTTTCCGAGGATAATTTGGTCACTCAATCCACGGCTGTTTGTGGGACACTGTTGTGCGCAATCGGCTGCCGCGTTTCACCCACAAAATATACAATCAATTCACTGTATAGTGTATTCTGGGAAGCGCTTTGAGATGTCTCGAACACGTGTTAAGGCGTTGTATCAAATGTAAGGATTTTTTTATTATTATCAACATGTCTTCGAGACGTCTCAAAGCGTTTCATAGAATATACTGTAAAGTGAATTGACTGTGTATTTGTGGGCGAACATAAGGTTTCTCCCCGCCCGGGAATCGAACCCGGGTCCTCTCGCTTGCGAGGCGAGCGTTCTAACCGAGGACCCTTCAAGAAGCCTTAACCCAGGATCGGGCTAACGGGCAGTGACAATGCGGCTGCCTAGACAGCGAGATGGTGCAGCTCTCGGGTTCAATTACCAGCCTCGTTTATCAGAGCAATGAATTGTTACACATCGGAGAGTTGCTCTGCACTGGGTGACGTCAATGGGTTGGGGAGCATTTGGACCTCTCTCACATCACTGCAGGGACACAATTAGTCTTAGAGAGCGGGGGGTGGGGGAGAGGAACTATCACCCTATCACCACTGGCCCATCCATCACCCCATCCTCTTCCACATCCCACCTCCACCTCCTTGGAAACTTTTAATTGCCCCATTCTCAAGTTCAATAGGCAAAGGTGTTGGGGGGAGGGGGGGGCGTTAGGGGGAGCGAGCAAACTAATAGAGCTTCAGTTAATCAGCTATTTGGGAGGATAGAGTGTAACTGTGTTAAGGTTCCTCTGGGAACCAAGTCTCCTGCCTGGCCATTTGTTTCCATAAATAAAATCACACAACAGCTGACGCTGTCTGTGTTTCGAGGGTAGCAAGTAACCTGGGTCCCAGTTGCCTGACTGGCTCAGCGTCACAGAGGCCTCAAGGTTGGAGCACTTTGCTGGAGTTTCAGCCAGAGGTGGTCAGCCAGGTTCCTAATCATAATTATCATTATAATATAATATAGAATATAATAATATTCCTTGCCTTTGATGCAGCGCAGCTTCATGTCGTTGAGATGTCTCAAAACTTCTAAAAAAATAAAAGTGATAATAATTTGGTCACTTAACCCACGGCTGTTTGTGGGACACTGCTGTGCGCAATTGGCTGCCGTGTGTCTGTCTACAAAATACACAATCACTACGCTTCACTTTACAGTCTATTCTGTGAAGCGCTTTGAGACGTCTCAACAACATAAGGCACTAATTAAATACAAGGATTATTATTTTTATTGAAGCGCTTCACGGAATATACTGTAAAGTGGAATGACTGTGTATTTTCTTGGATGAAACGCAGCAGCCAATTGTGCACAGCAGCGTCCCACAAACAGCCGAGGACTGAGTGACCATTCTGTAATTTTTTGGGGGAAGGATCCAACTAGCAATCGACTAACAACCGGGTTCTCACTTACCGCTTGGTAAACAGAGGCCTGTGCGTGGAGTAAGGAAACTTGCCTAAGGGAATCGAACCCGGGTCCTCTCGCCTGCGAAGTGAGAGCATTAAAACCCATACTCTACGGGACTCAACAAATTAATTATAATGATCCTTACATTTGAGGTGGTGTCTTCCACCCTCGGCAGGTTGCCCAGTGACTGCGTATTTTGCAGGCGATCAATACAAGCGACGGCCACTGTGTCCGTGAAGTAATAAGGGGGTTATAATTATTATTATAATGTTGAAAGGAAAAGTGTTGTGAGCTTTGCAACTCTCTGGGTTAGAAGGTTGTGGGTTTAAGCCCCTCTCTTCACCACACCGCCCGCAACTCACAGTCGAGGCTAACACATTGGGGGAGTGGGGGTGGGGGAGTGATTGTGTGAAGCCCTCTCCTTTGTCTGAGATGTTAAACTACCATTTGGCCCGTGAGTGACACTGCAAACCAAAAGGCGATAATGACCAGAGAGGGAGGGAGGAAGTCAGAGAGGGGAAGAGGGGATCAGAGAGAGAAAGGGATGGGTTGTGAGAGAGGGTCAGAGAGAGGAGGTGGGGGTGGGGAGAGAGGGTCAGAGAGTGGCGGGGAGAGAGCGAGAGGGGAGACAGAGAGAGGGGGAGAGAGAGAGAGAGGGGGGGGGGGGGGGAGGGGGGGGGGGAGAGAGGGAGGGGAGCGAGAGAGAGGGTTGGGGGGAGAGAGAGGTGAGAGAGAGAGAGAGAAAAAAAACCTGATGGGAGTCGGTCTGATCGCTTACATCAGTTACTCACTGACCCCATCTCCGTGTGTTTTTTCCCCGTCG